GTTCAGTAATGAAAAATAACTGGTAGCTTATTGGACCTTAAGACCCCAGACATCTTTGGAAATTTGAGGAAAGCTATGGTTCCCATCATTACTCTTTTCTGCCTATGGAGGAATACCTCTTTCAGAGGGTTCTGGGAACTACCTAAAACTGCTTCATCTTAATTGTTACTGCTATATCTGTATACTTTCTGAACATAAGGAGCTCAGGGTTTATTCCTTCACTTTTAATGGCATGCTAACATTTAAATTATAGCTGTATTTTTACATATCCATCTCAGCGACCTGGCTGGTAAAACCTTTCAACTTTATTGTATAACCTATTGGCTGTTGTTGACCTGATCATTACATTTAAACTTATAAATGAAGGAAATTTCCTAACTGTTGGCATAAGTGAACACAGATTTTTGCAATGCCATATAGTAAATTTATTCACAGTGCTATTACTCATCACTTTGAGAAAATTGTTTTATCAAAATATAGTTTATATGCACCCTATGTCATATCTTTTTATTGCATGCATGGAGTTATACAACCATCATCATAATCAATTTTAGAATACATGCATTCTTTGCTTTTGAAAAATTAATATCATGTCACTTTGTTTTTACAAAAGGCCTACCTTAAGACCTGTTCTGCTAACTGAAAAAAAAAAAAAAAAATCCGGAATGTATGTTTGCTTTTCTGGCAAAAGTAAAAAAAGCAAAAATATTGTCAATGTCTGATTTGCAGCTGCTTAGTAAAGACAGTGCATATCCCAAGGAATGAGATTTGCATTATCAAGTTCCTTCCCCAGGGACTGTATCTTACAGGCTTTGTATTTATCATTTCATTCTTTTTTTTTTTTTTTTTAAAGATTTATTTATTTATTTATACAAGCACTGGGTACAGTCAGAAGTGCGGGAGGGTGAGAGAATTCACCAGAGCCGGAGCAGGGAGCAGAATAGGCAGAAAGACCGAAGTACACTGCTGAGGGGAGCAGCGGGCGGCAGGAGAGATCTGCGCGCCATGTGGGACCCTCGCACTGCAGCCGGGGATCGAACCGGCGCTGCAGAGGCTGCGGGCAGCTTCGCAACCCAGCGCTCAACTGCTGCGCCACCGGGGAGGCCCTATCATTTCATTCTTGCTTTTACAATCTGTTAATTCTGTTTTAGGTTTTTTTGTGTGGCTTGTGATGGCTTGGTATGCTATTTTTTAGGTGTTGGAACACTCAAATATAAATGGTAATTGCTTCTTTGTGTTACATCATTTTGGCATAAGAAAGTTTTCATATTCATGCCATACTTTTGATTTGGGGGAAACCTGTAGTTTCACCACTACCCCATCCCAAAAGATTACCTAGTCCTCCTTAATTCCTCAGCACCATGGGACACCATAGGCAACCATAAATCTATTTTGTATCTCTGAATTTTCCTCTTCTGGACCTTTCACATAAATGTAATCAAACATAATGCTGTCTTGTTTGAAAGAAACTAGTTTTTTTTTTTTTTTTTCCACTGAGTATACTGTATTCAAGTATCATCCATGCTATTCTGTGTGTCATTCCTTTTTATTGCCCAGTTCCATTCAGTGGATATACCACATTTATTTATCCATTTTTCATTTCATGTCGGTTCTTTCCTTTTTTTGTTATTATAAATAATGCTGCTATGAATATTACATTGTATTTATGTACAAGTTTTGTAGAGATACAATATTTCTTTTTTTTTTGACTGCAATTGCTAGATTATGTGTTAATTCCAAAAGTGGTTTTCCAAAGTGGTTGCATCACTTTCCATCCTCTAGCAATATGAGACTTTCAATTTTTCCTGTACCTCTAAAATTCTTTTATTTTACATTTTTTGATTATTTCCATTCTAGTGGGTGACAAATATATCTCATTATGGTTTTTATTTGAATTTTAAGGATGTTGAGCAACTTTTCATGTGCTTACTGCCATTTATCTAACCTTTGCAGGCAAATGTCTGTTCAAATGCTTTACCCAGTTTAAATTAGTTATTGTATATTTTTGTTGAATTACACATTTTTATATATTGTAAAGTCATCTATCAGCTATAATATTTGCAAATATCTTTTTTGAATCTTTTTTTTCAATTTTAAATACTTTTTTCAGGCATATTTAAATTTGAGGAAGTTCAATTTATCTATTATTTAATTTATCACTTGTCTTTTTGATATCATATCCAAGAAGGGTTTTTTTTTTTAATCTAATTCATGGTCATGAAAATTTGCTCCTGTGATTTCTTCTAATTGTTTGATTGTTTTACCACTTACTTTTAGATTGTAGATGTTGTTTAAAAGTTTTTGTATTAGGGGCCTCCCTGGTGGCGCAGCGGTTGAGCGCTGGGGTGCGAAGCTGCCCGCAGCCTCTGCAGCGCCGGTTCGATCCCCGGCTGCTCCCCGGCCACCGGAGGAGGGTCCCACATGGCGCGCAGACCTCTCCTGCCGCCCGCTGTTCCCCTCAGCAGTGTACTTCGGTCCTTCTGCCTGCTCTGCTGCCTGCTCTGGCTCTGGTGAATTCTCTCACCCTCCCGTGCTTCTGATTGTACCCAGTGCTTGTATAAATAAATAAATAAATCTAAAAAAAAAAGTTCAGTCTATAAAAAAAAAAAGAAAGAAATCTTTAAAAAAAAAGTTTTTGTATTAGTGGGAATAAAATTACTAAAAGAATATACAAATGTGGCAACACTGGAATAGTATACCTATGTTATAGTGATAATGAGTAAAATTCTCAGAGTACTTATGGGGCATGCTAGAGTCTAAATCTTATTCCTAAATGATTTATGTATTTGCCTCCCATTATTTAGAAGTTTTAATTATAAATATTTTTCTCTTATCATTATGCAATATTTTATATTTATTATCTAGCAATGTAGGAAATTATTTTATATATAAATGACTCTCTAGTAACATGGACAATTAGCTAGTTTCATTTTAATAGTAGCACAAGATTGGGAATTGAGGAAATATGAAAGATTGTATATAGGAGATTAGAGAAGAACAAGGTGATATCAAAACATGATGATTGTGGCTTACCATATGCCTATTACATAGAAAGTGACATAGAACATTTGATGAATTTTAGGAACACCTTCTATGGCTATGAGTCCAGATCTTTACATTGGGAATATGTTTCTGACTTGAAAATTATTTTCAAACAATCATATTTACATATTCTGAAATCTCTTTTGATTATTACTTTGGACATAATTCTTATTTATATATTTTTAAATTCCTCACTTACTTTAGAGACTTAATATTTAACAATATGTAACCTGTGTTATTGTGATGCAAAATGCAATTGCTTGTTCATGTTTTAGTGCTTTGGGTCTTCGAAAGATTTTTTTTTTTTAATTCTGACCTGTGTACTCTAAATTACTCTTGTTCTAGTTACCTGTCATTTGTAATATATAAGTACCTTTTTGGTTGGATCTGATGAGATAACAAATGGTAATTAGCAACCTTTAAAAGTTAATCCTCTTCAGAAAAGAGAATGTTCATTCACTCTCAAATTAAGCTTCCTTTATTAAATTAAAATATTCATTTAATATTAATATTGAAAGTAAACTGGAATAATATTGAGGAGTAAATACTACTTGTGTTTATTGAGTAGAAATAGGATAGTTATCTCTCAGCATCTCCTCTTGATTTATTTTAGCAGCTGGTAGGACCTTTTCGCAAATACTTGTCCTTGACACCTTATAAACTAAAAATATTCAAAACAAAACATAATGCAAAAATTTCATCTTCAAATACCAAGAGCTCCTTCTTTACCTATTTTGTATGACCCTTACTGACATTGCTTTCATTGTAGTCACAAGGAAGTCATTGGTGGCTATCACTCTTCTGACTATATGGTGATATGCCAAATTCTGTCAAGAGTTCATTTTATAACATGCCATTTATCATTCTCCTTTTTTTCTACCTGAAGTGTCATTTACCAACAGGTTCTTTTCATTGTTCTCTGGGATATTTACATAACACTCAACTATCTTTTTGCCTCCTTTGCTATCTCTCTTTTACACAGCATACAAAACAACCTTTCTTACACACAGATGGCCATGTCAGTGCCCCCTCAAATTCTGTTGGCCATGTGGACCAAAAGTCACACTCCTCAGCACTGTACTTTAAAAGCCCCCTTTTCTCTGGCCCTAGGATTATATTTTGCCCTTACCTGCCACATCAAGAGGACACTTATGATGAAATGTTTTATACAGGTATTTTCATTTCATTGTGCTTTTGCTCATGATGTTTCTTTAATCTGAATGCTCTCCTTTGTTGACAATTTAAATGCCACAATTTTGGGGAGAAGGATCTTATTATGGTCTAGTTAAAGTTAAACTTCCCTCCCTGTTTTCCTATAAGGCATTTTTGAACCTCCATACATTACTTATTTAATTTTAATATAGTGAGTTATGCTTGAGTTCCTCATCTGACACTCCAAAATAGAAATTCTGCTGCTTCTGCTTAGTTTTGTATCCCTGGACAACAGATGCTATTGTCTAACCTTCCTCCTCTATTAAATTACTTTAATATTTGTACACAAGTTTCAGGTCTCTTTTAATGCTAAATTTGATGGTGTAGCACTAGCATTATAAATAGCATCTCTGTGTGTTTTATGCGTTTGCCTGCTTGACTTTCTCTTTGGGTAGAGAGTATGCACTTTGAAGAGAGAAAATTAATCTTACTCATCTTAGTACCCATTCTAACATACTGGTTCCAGAATAAAATCGCATGCCCTCACTTTTTCTTGCCATGATTCATGAAGGATGTTAACTCACTCACTGGAATTATATCAATTTATTGCGATATTTTCTCATTCCATAAGGGACATGGGAAGACTTAAGTGGTGCATAAAGAACAGAAGAGTGAAACATAAATAAAATAGTAGTTAGTGCATTTTGAATAATTAAAAAGCGTAATTTCACCAGTATGAACCATGATGAGACAAAAGCTACAGATAAGGAATGTTAAAGCTCGTTTCATTCTGTTTTATTTTGTAGGATCCCGTCTTCGCCAGGAAGACTTTCCCCCGCGAATTGTGGAGCATCCTTCCGACGTCATCGTCTCTAAGGGAGAGCCCACCACTTTGAATTGTAAGGCAGAGGGCCGGCCCACTCCCACCATTGAGTGGTACAAGGATGGTGAGCGGGTGGAGACCGACAAGGATGATCCCCGGTCCCACAGGATGCTTCTGCCCAGCGGGTCCTTATTCTTCTTGCGCATTGTGCATGGACGCCGCAGTAAACCCGATGAAGGAAGCTACGTTTGTGTTGCAAGGAACTATCTTGGTGAAGCAGTGAGCCGAAATGCGTCTCTGGAAGTGGCATGTAAGTGATCATAATGAGCCTGGTAAATGGCAGGCACATTTACTTTGATTTATTTTTAGTAAGCATTGATTCATTCCCATAAATGCTTAATATCTAAAGACGAAAACAATCAACACACTGAATAATTTTACTTTGCCTTCTCCAAAGAAAGCTGGTCAAAATAATGTCAAGCCAGGGTGTTGGAATGCATTTATTCATATTGAAGCAATGCAGAGATTGTGCTATTACATTAAAGTGAAGTGGCAATGGTGTCAGTCATGTTTAAAATTTGAATTATTAATAGGAGATATAATCAAGTTTCAAAGTGTTAAATGCAAAGTTTGTGTGTGACATGGCATACACAAGGCATAAATTCAATATTATACATAGTCCTGTACCTATTCATATATAAGTATTATATATAGCATTATATTGTGTGTTATATATTATATCTATTTCTGAATCTAACTTTTGTCAGGCAACTTTATAAGGAGAATGCTTTCTAGGCTATATTAACTCTTACCTCCTGGCTGAGTTTAGGAATCTTTATCCTCGTTATTCTAGGGGAATTAACAACAAAACAAAATCATCATTGAAGAGACTAGGAACAAAATGTTGATATGTAGGAGGGTCTTACTCAGTATTGGTAAATAATAATATCTAAGCATTGGCCCGGCCTCTGGCATTTTGTAATATATATTTTTATTAATCAGTTCAATTTCGCTAGAAAATCAACACATCAGTGCTTTGCATCTATTTGAACATCTCTACCCTAACTTCTTGGACCTTTCTTAGAACAAATTAAAATATACGACAGAGTTTGTTTCTTGTTTATAGATGAGGATTTGGTGCCATAATTTAAACAGTAACTACTAACCCTGCGGTCCATTTTTAACATCTTTTTTGAAGAAACACTTTATGTAGGATTAATGTGCATACGAGGGCAACAATCCTCCCTCTCCTCCTGATTGCCCTACCCCATGCCAATTTGTACCTTTAAAGTTTCTGGCTGTACATGGAAAGTCTTCATAGATGAGAAAATTGGGGACATTCAGGTTGGTGAACCATTTCTCTGGCGGGGGAAGAGAGTGCAAAATAATAACACATTGTCTCAAATCTTCAATTAAAGTTGATACTTGTATTCTCATACCATAAGATACCACATTAGATGAACAAAAGTGGTCTACATTGTGTAATTGTGTAGTGAAGTTTTCAACAATATATCATTATCTTTGCACATGAAAACATCCCTTAATAAACATTTCCTATTCAGCTAGCCTAGTGAATGCTTTTGCTCTCAAGCATCAGTTTTTGATTTGTAGTTTGTACCAGGAAATCTGGTACACATCAATACTTAACATGTATAAATCAGATAGGAAAAGTCTATAATAATCCTAAAACTCAAAACTGTTACGTGAAATACCTTGAACTTTAACTAGCAATGCCATTTTTCACTGACTAGGCAATTTCATTTTTATAATTCCAGAAAACAATTAAATTCAGTTTAAGGAAATTTTAAATGTATACAAAACTTAAAGAATGAAAAATATTTCCAACAGTACTGTTTTAATTTTGAAAAATCTTATTCTAGAACTTCTCAAACTTACTGAGAAGCTTTTCTCTTACTTTTCCACCAATCTTTCATAATAAATATATCGCTTATCCAATTTTATAGATAAAATAAAACCCATTATGGTTAAATGACCAAGACTTACATAATACTTAATGAAAAATTCAATATCACATTGCAATTCTTCTAATTTTTAGTTTTAGGGCATTGTTCCATATTTGGAAAAACACTCTAAATAAATCTGACCTACTTTATATAAATAAAAAAATTAAGACATTTTCACTAAAATTATTTTCTATCTACTTAGGAGAAAGTAACTCTTTAATCCTTAACTAAATTTTCTTCTCAGTATTAGAGTTTATATAAATGACAATAATTTTATTGTTGAGCAGTTATAATCTTACTTTGTTTCTGAACCTTATATTTGTTATAGCTGTTCCCAGCACATATGAAATTTTCACTTTTATTCAGTCTTAATATTTTCTCTCTTTCCTAATTGCATCATTAATAGTGAATCAAACTGATTTAGGAGGAACATTTTAAACCATGAATTTTTTTAGCGTGTAATATGACAATAGCATTTTTTGAATTTTTAAATAAATGCTAAAAATACTTCTGACCTAGAGAGGATGGCAAGAAGGCTTTTAAATTGGATTTAGCTAGTGAATAAAATCCTTTCTTCTAATGCCATGTCAACAGTTCATGTCATTTGAAACAATACAAGATCAAATAATGTCCATTTATATGCTACTCATCTTTTTTGCATTAGCTCAGCAGTCTTTTCTTTTTTCTTATGAAAAATATTAATATAGAAATTTGGGTCAAAGCATGACAATTTTTCAACACTATTAGTAACAAAGATCTATTTTTATATAATGATAAGAGACATAGCTACAGAGTATATCAATGTCTGGCCTTCATATTTTCAAATACTTAACATAAATGTTCAGTTTTGCCACATCTATGTCTTCATCCATTAAAGGAAAGAATGGAAGTTTAAAAACACTGTATATTGGGAGAACTTCTGGTAGCTGGATATGAGGTTGGTGGACAGCTAAAGTTTGAAAGGTAGGCATGTGCTCAATCATAAAATCTAGACTTTTAGTATAAAATGAGAATCTTTGAAAGAGAATGGAAGATTGGGTTAAGTGGATGATGAGTGAAGTCAGATAGGAGTTAAGAGGCTGTCAGATAACTTAGAAAAGAGTATACATGTTAGACTATAAACTGAAAATACAGTGACCATTAAAAAGAGGAAATGGTTTGAATCATATTTAGAAATTACACATCATATTACTTTATGTTTGATTTGAGGTGTTTCTCAAATACTATTTTTTGGCAGAATAACAAGGTGTATAGTGCTACCATCCATGGTGAGAGCAGAAACAGGAGAAATAGGGTACTGGAAACAGGAAAGTGAAATCAGCTTTGACTGCTATTGGTATTGTTTGACACCTTGAGATATACATGAGGTAAAATCATCCCGTTTTCTTTTTTAAGAAAAGCTATCTTTTTAGATAGCTTCTGGAATTGAGAAGAACGGTCTTTCCCAGATAGATATTGAAGCCATGGGATAGGTAGAATAGACATGGATGCCTAGTCAGACTTTCTGGAGGGCATGGGTAATAAGTGTTAGATCACTCCCATTGCTTGAAACACCAATATTTCATGATGGGCGAAGGAATGAGCTTTGAGGGGGAAAAAAAAAAAGAGAGCAAGGAATTGATTTTTTTTTTGTAAGATTTATTTATTTATTTATTTATACAAGCACTGGGTACAGTCAGAAGCGCAGGAGGGTGAGAGAATCCACCAGAGTCAGAGCAGGGAACAGAACAGGCAGACTGATGAAGCACAATGCTGAGGGGAGCAGTGGGCATGGCAGGAGAGGTCTGTGTGCCATGTGGGACCCTCGCTGGCAGCCGGGTATTGAACTGGTGCTGCAGAGGCTGCAGGCAGCTTCGCAGCCCAGCACTCAACCGCTGTGCCAACAGGGGAGGCTCAGAATTGATTTTAAGAAAAAGAAAAAGTGGTTGGCTATGCAAATGACAGTGATAGTCAAGTAATAAATATCTGTGGGCTCTAGTGATGAAAGAAAGCCCAGCAGTTGAAGAATGAGTAGGTAGTGGCAATGGACTGGCTAATGCCCATTTTTTCAAGACGTTAGCTATGAATGGAGTGCGAGGGAATGAGAACAGGGTATCCCAGCCTCTGCTCTACTGATATTTGGGGTGGGGCAATTGTTTGTTTTAGGGACTGTACTGTGCCTTGTAGGATGTTCAGGAGCATCTCTGCCCTTTGCTCGTAAGATATCCACAAGATCTCCTTTACTCATCCGGAGTGTGACAACCAGAAATATGTCCAGGAGCTGCACAGTGCTCCCTAGAGGAGGGGATGCATCAAAGTCATGTGAGAACAACAGACCTGGCTGGTTCAGAGTATGTAGATGAATAGAAAACAAGTGTTGCAACTTTTATTGTGAAGGTATTATTGATTAAAACATGTAAATTTTTAATTTCCATTTTCTTTTTCTGGGTTTTTATTTTTTATTTTAAAAGTCTTGGTTTCTGCTTTTGTATGAAATGGGCAGTTTTTACTGATAACATCTCTTTTGACAGTTCTTTACTATATTTGTTCTTTTTGTTTGTTTTTCTTTAATATCTACTTCAGTTTTATGCAACAGGACTATACAGTGGAGAAAAACATATACAGGACTAATAATTTCAATGGAGACTTGAATCACTTACCTCATATTTGCCCCTGGCACACTCCCTCTTGATTTCTGTTAAAAAAAAAAGAAAAAAAAAAAGCACAATTCAGAAAGTACTTTTGAATCACTTGACTTCAACAAAGATCTTCAGGTAAAAAGAATTTTTTACATATTTAGAAAACAGAATCACAGGGTCCCAGCAAAGCACCTGGCACTGAAGAAGTTAATATGCAGTTTTCCAGTGGGACCACCAAGAGAGGCACGGTGGAGCTGCTGCAGATAGGATTTCAGTTTGAACACCGGTGCTCTCTGTGTTTGGAGCAGAAGGAGCACAGAGGTCCTCACACGGATTGTGGCTGCCTGTGATACAGCCCGAGTCCCTGGCAGCCCCTAGAGATAGCAGCTGTAGCCCCAGGTGGTAAATATATGACAGCAGCTTGATCTATCGACCAGGGTAAGAGGGGGTTCTGGCCTAAATGAAAATTCATGAAAAATTGATGAAGTCCCCAGATTATTTTTTCCGTTTCCTTTTCTCAGCACTATACCAATGCAGAGAGGGGAGATTAAATGAGGTGCTGAATGCTTTAGTGACAAGGGGGTTGTGGTTCAAAGGTCAGGGGTCACTGACGGTTTTTTTTTGTCGCTTTCCTTACTTCTAAAGCAAAACACAGAAACTTTTCAGATAAGATGTGGTTTACCTTTGCTTTGATGACAATAAAGTGGCTAATATTTGAAAGTTAGCCT